CTGTGTATTTCACAGAGAAGGCAAGTTAATTTCTTTCACATAACTGGAATGTCCTTTTTCCTGACAAGATCAACAGAACTCAAAACATCAGGTGATTCTGGAAGTCATAAAAAGGGAAACATGCTGAATTGCAAAAATCCAATCAACTAGAAGTATGGTCTTCTTAAAGTTACTTAAAACAAATCTTATTTGCACACATGCAGAAGACATCTAAAGAGGTGGTGGACTGACATTTTAAAAAAATGTGTTAAAAATTAGCTATTAAAGAATTTGAAGATGGATTCCCACAGTAGGCTTCTCAGAGCACTGATGTGCCAAGCATGACCCCAGCCATAAGATTATCTGACAAAAGCCAGGCATGGTGGCTCCCACCTGTAATCCAACACTTTGGGAAGCTGAGGTTGGCAGATCACTTGAGATCAGGAATTCGAGACCAGCCTGGCCAACATGGTGAAATCCCATCTCTCCTAAAAATACAAAAATTAGCCAGCATGATGGTGCACACATGTAGTCCCAGCTACTTGGGAAGCTGAGGCAGGAGCATTGCTCGAACCTGGGAGGTGGAGGTCGCAGTGAGCTGAGATCACCCCACTGCATTCCAGCCTGAGCGACAGAGTGAGACTGTCTCAAAAAAAAAAAAAAAATTACCTGAGAAGGTAATTTTTGAAAGGTGCTGCTGTGGAAATCTCATCACCATACAGCGAGCTAACTCCAAAACAGAAATATATAAATTCATTCACATAGAGAAAAAGAGGTCACGTGTGAGTGCATACATGGGTACACATAGAGAAACATGCTTCATAGTGCTCATAAGTGCAGGCAAAATTACCTCACATTTAGATTTTAAGCTTCCCTTAGAACTTTAAAAATCATTATTTTGCAGGATCACCATTATTCTGATTCATTAGCAAGGCATACTTATGAGGGTCTTAAAATAACCGGCATGCTGGACATGTAAAAACATGCTTCTTGCTGTCATGGCAACGAAATAACAACAATAACGCTCACATCCGAATGACTACGGGGAGCAAAGTTATTGTGCCTGAATATAGATAATTATGGAATCATCAAAAGAACAGCAGCTCTGTCAATGCAAAGATGATCCTCAAATAATCAATAACAACAATCTTGTTTGGTAATTGGCTATTTGTTTCCAATATGGGCTCTACCTTTGGTCGGCATGGAGATGCAGCAGGCTCTTTAGCCAGCAGAAGAAAAAAAAAAAAAAAAAGGAAAATCTTTCAGTTTAGGGTTGGTGGTTGTCAGTAGCAACAAATAATGGAAAATTGCCATCTGGCTTCTTTTTTTAAATGAGATTTGAATAATCAATTTAATAATGGATAGAGCACTTGCTTACAGAAGTAATCCATTGTCACGGCTTGGAAAAAAGAAAAACTTTGGCACCAGAGACAAAGCTTCGCAGTATGACTATAGGTAAAGCAAATGAACGTCTACGTACGTGCCACGATTTTTATTTTCACTGCTGACTTTACATAAACTAGAGGATAACTCTTTCTTCTATATGCTTAGCTTTTCACATTCTGTGTTTAATAATCAGGACGAAATCTACAGAGCAGCTGGCTTGCTACAGGCATTCGAGTCTACTGATGGTTAGTGGAGAAAGAGACACACAAATGGTAGATTTTTTTTTAGCACATTTTACCCCAACATCATGTGACATCTCATGGAACAGGCCATCATGTCAGCAGAGCAGAGGAAATAAAACTGCATCATCTGGCTATTGGGTATGTGTGAGTGTGTGGCTGTGAGTGTGAGGGTGAGGATGTGTGTGTGTTTCCTTTACACAGCTGCACCAGAGGAAAAATGCTATTCAGAAAAGGAGAACAGGGTGACACCAGGGCTCAGGATGACTCATTCATTTACATGATAAAAAATGAAGATAGCAGGAAAGAGGTTCCGACCCTGAGCAGAAGCAGGAGTGATGACATCCAAATATGGGGCTTGTGTCATGTCTGTGTGTGTGTGTGTGTGTGTGTGTGTGTGTGTGTGTGTGTGTGTTTAACAAAATATGCATGTGCAGTATCACCTTGGTCTCAAAAGACCCTTGAATCTTTTACTAAAAAATTTACTGGCTGGGCACAGCAGCTCACGCCTGTAATCCCAGCACTCTGGGAGGCCAAGGAGGGTGGATCCTGAAGTCAGGAGTTTGAGACCAGCCTGGCCAACATGGTGAAACCCCATCTCTACTAGAAACCCCAAAAACAGCTGGGTGTGTTGGTGCATGCCTGTAATCTCAGCTACTAGGGAGGCTGAGGCAGGAGAATTGTTTCAGCCCGGAGGCGGAGGTAGCAGTACACTAAGATTGCACCACTGCACTTCAGCCTGGGTGACAAAGTGAGTCCCCTTCTCCAAAAAAGAAATAAAAAATTACCAGATGGTTTGAAGGAGAAAAAGGGATAAACTCCAGGCCCTCCTGCATTTTGGAAAGTGGCATTCAGGATACGAACAACAGCATCTGGGGTCTACAGACCTACGGGACTGGAAGGCAGGGGCTTCCGCTGACCTCTGCTGCTTGAAGACTAGAGGGTATTAAGCAGGATCGTCCTTCTGTTCCCCCAGAATTCCTGACCCACTCGGGGCACGTTCCCTTTCATCCTGTGCTGGTTTTCTCCTCAGCCTGTGTCACTCAGAAATTTCCCACTGAGGTTTCAGGCTGTTCGCCTGTTCTCTGACTGAAGACTCATTACTGTTCGCCTCCGCCCTGCTCCCAACCCAATCCATTTCTTAGTTACTCTCCCAGGACATCCAGTGATCAGGCCCCCCCCGGGTCACAGTTTCATTAACCCTCTTCCTTCAACAGGGATGCTGAATCTGGTTGATTCTCATCCCAGAGACTCCCTCTGGGACCCAACTTGGCCCCTGGGTTACCAGCACTTCCTTGGCAGCAAGGCACCCCACCACATCACCACCTTCAGTCCTACCTTGGGCCACAGAGCTTTTATAAAGTCTTAGATAGATCTGAAGTCCTCTCCACATCTAGGGGACAACTCTATTCAGGCCCTTCTTCCAGCTGGGCCTTGTGATTTCCCTGGGCAGAGCCCCACAGAGACCATGCACATTCTCCCTGTGCATCCCAAGACCCCCACCCTAATTCCTGGAAAAAGCAAAGGCAGGAGTCTAAATCTCTTTCATGCTCCCCAATTTTCTGAGCCATCACCTGTCACCCCTACTCTGTATAGGGATACCGTCTTGCTAGGATTTCCACTGCAATGTGGAAGGAAGACTTGGGAAAATTGCAAACACATGGTTATGTCCTCACCATTACCAACACATTCAGTCCAAACAGAAGCTCCTGTACTAAAGAAAGAAGTGTTCTCAGGCGGGGCGCCATGGCTCATGCCTGTAATCCCAGTACTTTAGGAGGCTAAGGAGGGTGGATCACCTGAGGTCAGGAGTTCAAGACCAGCCTGACCAACGTGGGGAAACACCTTCTCTACTAAACATACAAAATTAGCTGGGCGTGGTGGTGCATGCCTGTAATCCCTCCCAGCTACTCTGGAGGCTGAGGCAGGAGAATTGCTTGAACCCAGGAGGGGGAGGCTGCTGTGAGCCGAGGTGGCGCCATTGCACTCCAGCCTGGGTAACAAGAGTGAAACTCCAAAAAAAAAGGAAAGAAAGAGAAAGAAGGAAGGGTGGGAGGTTTTCTCATGGTGTCCTCTGCTCTGTGGTTTCCCTCAGGGCTTGTGAGTCTTTGGTGTCTCTGAGTCTGACAAACTTTTTCTTCTTAGAAGGACACCAGTCAGTTTGGATTACAGCCCCACTCTAAGGACTTTAATTTACTCACCTTCTAAGATGCCTTATCTCTAGATACAATTGCATTCTGAAGTATTAGGGGTTCGGGGTGATTCTGGGGTGGAGGGTACAGTTCAGCCCAGAACAGCAGGTGAGAATGTCCAAGGGTGTGTACTGAGTGAGGAATGCAGAGGGGCAGGTCACCTTCCTGGGGGGCCAGGTTTGTCAGGGTCAGAGAAGTAAAAGGAGAGAGGGCCCTAAAGGAACAGATCAGGGTTTGGAGCCGGAGGAGTGACAGCAGAGAAGAAATCCTGAGACCTGGCTGTCTCCCCACCCTCACGCCCCTGTGAAAGGGTGTGGAGCAATACTGCACACAGGTTGGACTCCTGTGGTGTGAGCAGCAAACAGAAGAGAGAAAAGCAGGGGCCAGGGGCACTGGGAAGGGTGATAAGCTGAGTGAAAGGTAAGAGAGGCCAGGCCAGCACTGTGGCTCACACCCTTAATCCCAGCACTTTGGGGAGGCTGAGGCCAGAAGCTCGAGACCAGCCTGGGCAATGTGGTGAGACACTGTCTCTACAAAAATGTTAAAACTTAGCCAAGCATGGTGATGTGCATTTCTAGTCCTGGCTATCCAGGAGGCTGAGGCAGGAGGATCCCTTGAGCCCAGGAGTTTGAGGCTGCAGTAAGCTGTGATTGTGCCACTTTACTCCAGCCTGGGTGACAGAGTGAGACCCTGTCTCTAGAAAAATAAATAAATAAGGCCAGGCAAGGTGGCTCACACCTGTAATCTCAGCACTTTGGGAAGCAGAGGTGGGTGGATCACCAGAGGTCAGGAGATCGAGACCAGCCTGGCCAACATGGTGAAACCCCATCTCCACTAAAAATACAAAAATTAGCCAGGCATTGTGGTCCCTGCCTGTAATCCCAGCTACTCAGATGTCTGAGACACGAGGATCACTTGAACCCAGGAGGCAGAGGTTGCAGTGAGCCGAGATCACGCCACTGCACTACAGCCTGGACAACAGAGCAAGACTCTGTCCAAAACAAAAACAAGAAAAAGAAAAGGAAATAAATAAAACCAAGAGAAGCCAATGCGGAGGACCAGGTTGAGGATGCTAAGAGTGAAACACGGGAGGATAATCGTAGAAGAAACAAATAAAGAGGCAAAACCCCTATTACTCAGTGTGTACACACTGTGGCTAAGCATCAAGACAATTAGCATACAAGAAAGCATGTCGAAATTCAAATCAATGTATTCTAATTGTCACTGTAATAGTAACGATTATTATTTATTTGTTCACCAGAGATCCTATGAACATGGTACAGGTGTCCCTTCATGAAAGTACCAGCTCTGTCTGGATTTCTGCTGTGTACTGGAACACAGACAAACTTCAAACATAGTTTTATGTCCTTATAATGGATGCAGTTCAAGCCACAGCTCCCACTTAGCTAAAGGCTTAACAGGGCAATGGAAATACAAGCAAGTTCCCAGACTTTAAGTGTGCTCACGACTCTTCTCAATTCAGACTGGTGTTTCTGTGTAACTCCTCTTACTGCATGAGCTCATGGTGCTGCTGGAACACATTTTTGGTGGGCACCCAGGGAACCATGAATGCTAATAGCTACATTCTTGTATACATCCAGGCTTGGAGCTTGCGAACTGGCTTGCTAGGAGTTTGAACCAGGACATCAATTACGAACATGTCTGAGAAATTAATCTTCCATCAGAGGATAACTCCTACTAGCAAAAAAGATTTGGCTACTGCATGAAAGGACAATGTGTGTGTTTTCTGTTCACCTCAGGCAAGAAAACCCTTACTGAAGGAGCAGGAGGCCTTTGTTAATGGTGCCAATATTTTGTGGACCTTAGGAAAAGCATCCTCTCTGCTCCAGGACCTCCAGCTAATAGGAGCTACTTATGCAATGGTAGACCCATCCACTCTGCAATAATGAACAGACGGATAAAGCTTTGCTGGGGGTAAGAGGCTGGGCATGACTCAGATTTGGTGGTTTACATGAAGACAGCCAACTTTCAGCCCTTGGCTCCCCGCACTTCATTTGGAAATCTCAAATCCCCACTTTATAAAGAGGAAAGACATTCCCTGAGAATAGGGTGGTTACCAGCACCTCTCCCCCAAAAAAACAACACGCGGAATTGTGTGGGAAAGAAAGGCATAGCGTGTTGCCATACTGCAAGGAGAGGGTGATTGACTCCAGATAGGGTGATAAAGATCAATTGCCTGGGCTTGGAGTTATGACACCAACAAAGTTACAATGACATTAGCACAAAGAGAGAGACACAAATCCATTACAAAGATACAATCAAATATTCAAAAAAGCCTGGCATGCTCATTACTTATTCATGCTAATACAAGTATATTAAGAAATCTAAACAGTGTTAGCGCTCAATCACTCACAAACCAAATGAGGTTTTGCATTTATCAGACTCCCGTCATCAGGGCCTGTACAAAGGTGGTAATGTGACATAACCAGAGATATTTATATCAGCCTACATGGACGGAGAGATACACCAGGATTTATTAAACTGAGGAATGCCATCACATTGACACAGCAATAAAAGAAATAGCTGTGCAGAAGTCATTTCCTCAGACAATAAGATTTACCTTTGCAACCTCTTAAAGATGCTCTATCCATTTCCAAAGGGTGGTTGGCAGCATTTCTGACCTTAATAAACTATTTACAGATTAATTTCTTCCACAAAGGACTGGATGCCCAAAAGTTGGTTCCCTCCTTGATAGCCAGCAATAGACTCTAAACCTTTCTGTTTCTGATGATGCTGCGCACAGACACACGTATTCCATCTTCTTGGGGAAGGCTGTCTTTGATTAAGTGACATGTCCTCAATTTTCCATAAAGAGAAGTCTATTCAGGATACTAGGGTGTGGGGGGCGGGTGGTGATGTCAGTAATGGTGTCCTAGTTCAATTCTCAAGTGCATGAGTTTTGGGGAGACTTCTTAAATATCCACAAGGGGATATTTAAGAAGATCCACAAGTTTTACAGTAAGGCATGCAATGGGAAGCAATAGAAGATTTTTGAAAAGGGATCGTGCTCCAGCATGAGAGTTGCCTCACCAGTTTTGCTCTTCTCTGCCTCCCAGGAGATTTCTGCTGCCCTGTTTTCTGAGAAGATCCTCTTGCCCCATCTTTTCTTCCTCCATTGGTGTCTCTTGCTCCCTAGGTTTCTAATGTTGCTGTCACCTCCATTTCTCTCTCCCTCTCTCTCTCTCTCTCTCTCTCTCTCTCTCTCTCTCTCTCTCTCTCTCTCTCCCTCTCTCTCTCTCTGTCACCCAGGCTGAAATGCAGTGATGCCATCTGGGCTCACTACAACCTCTGCCTCCCGGTTCAAGAGGTTTTCATACCTCAGCCTCCTGAGTAGCTGGGATTATAGGCACCCGCCACCATACCTGGCTAATGTTTTGTATTTTTAGTAGAGATGGGGGTTTCACCATGTTGGCCAGATTAGTCTAGAATTCCTGACCACAGGTGATCCACCCACTTCAGCCTCCCAAAGTGCTGGGATTACATTACATGCATGAACCACCATGCCAGGCCTTTTTTTTTTTTTTTTAGAACAAAGATATCTTCATCTTTAAGTAGGGGTATTGCTAGCTAGGGGTGGTGGTAAGCACCTGTAATCCCAGCTACTCAGGAGGCTGAGGCAGGAGAATCGTTCAAACCCAGCAGGTGAAGGTTAAAGTGAGCCAAGATCATGCCACTGCACTCCAGCCTGGCCAACAGAGCAAGAGTCTGTCTCAAAAACAAAAAACAACAACAAAAAGAAAACACAAAACAAAACAAAAAAATAAAACTTAATTAGGAATATTGCTTTTCTTGTTAAAGAACATTTACTATTACACATTTTATTTTATTTGTTAATAATCTTTTTACATTTCATTTTCTATTCAGAAGCTACACGCGCAAGTTTGTTACAAAGGTATGTTGTGTGATGCTGAGGTTTGAAGTACAATTGAGCCCATCATCCAGATAATCGGTACTCATATACATGAGTACCCAATAGATAGTTTTTCAGTCCTTTCTCTCCTTTCTTTTTCTCCCTCTGGAATCTCAGGCATCTATTTTTCCCATCCTTGTGTCCATGTACACCCTGTGTTTAGGTCTCATTTGCAAGTGAGAACATGTGGTGTTAAATTTTCCATTTCTGCATTAATTTGCTCAGATATGCAAATTGCATCCATGCTGGATTTGCATCCATGTTTCTGCAAAGGATGTGATTTCCTTCTTTTTTGTGGCTGTGTAGTATTCCATGGGGTCACTTTCATGTCTATTCTTGTTTCAGTCTCTTCTTCCCATGGCTGGTCCCATCCACCTCCATGGCCTCTAGAGCACTGGCACCCTGATGATTCTCAAAATTACAATGTCCCAGACCTCTCACTGGAATCTCAGAGCCTCATATCCAATTGCTCACCATAGCACCACCCACAAGTCAAGCACTCAGAGAGCCTCAGAGGCTGTCTTGATTCTTCTTCTCCTAGAACAGACAGCAAGTCACCTGCGAGGTATCTTCATTCCCCCACCTCCGCCCTGCAATTCCATCCTCCCTGGAAATGCCCTGGTGCAGGCCCTCTACCTCCTTCTCATTCATGGGAGCAATCCCATCTCTCCTGCCCTCACAGTAATCTTGCTGGAACATACCTTGTACCTTATTACTATCCCTCTTAAACGGGGCCATGAATGGTCTACAGAGTGAAGTCCAAATATTTTCCCAGCGCCATGAGCCCCTTTCTGCTCTCAGTAAGAACGCATCCTTGCTGATGTTAGGCATTTGCTTGAAGCCTAAGTTATAACCACACCATAAGCATACTCCCCCACCAAGTGGTCCTTGCACCCTCTGTCTGCTTGCTTGCTTGCATATCCAATGCCTGGGCAGCCTTCTTTCGCCCTCTTTCAGGGTCTTCCTCAAAAGCATCTCTTGGGGAAATAGCCAGAATCAGTCATCCCTCCACCTGTGCTCCTCTGGCCCTCTGGGCTCTTCTCCCAATGACTTCCAGGGAGACAGTGGGCTGCTAACAGTCTGGCACTCAGCCTCCTTCCTGCAATTTAGGCCTGGAAGGATTCCTGGCCCGCAGCAGAAGCTGCCCTACTCATTGCTAGGAGGTCTCATGTCCCTACGTTTTCCTATCATGTGCAATGACTGGGATTGGGATCAAAGTCTAACAAGGTCTTGCTGGATACCAGGCAGAAGGAGAACTCTCTCCCAGTCATCCATATCATAATCAATTCAGGTCATCTCAAGGAGCTACACAGAACTGTGCTTATCACTGCAAGAGACACAGGAAAGGAGAGCCAGCTGCTGTCCCTCAGAATCTAACAGGATCATCCTAAGAAGCTATTTCAAAGGACATATAAGCTGGCTTGTGCCAACATGATGCAGTCAAATGCCACCAGCAGAAAGGTGAAGGCTTGGAGGCTAAGGGTTTGAATTCTGGTTTCTTTGTCCTGATGGGCATGAACATGTCCTCCAGGGGAAGACACTTGTCTGACATCATAGGTGTTAGAAGGTAAACGCCGTGTCAGCTGAGACACTGTCTCTCCCATTCACTGGCATATCCCCAGTGTCTGACACTTGGTGGGCACTCAGCAAGTATTTGCAAAGGAAGAAAAGAAGGAAGAGAAGAAGAAGGAAGGAAAAAAGACAGAGAAGACCAGGTGGCTGTCTGCTTCTTTCTTGGTTGACTCCCTCATTTGTAAATTTTAGAGACAAGATCTCACTCTGCCGCCCAGGCTGGAGTACAGTGGTGCAATGGTGCAATCACTGCTCACTGCAGCCTCAACCTCCTGAGCCCAAGTGATCCTTCCACCTCAGCCTCCAGAGCAGCTGGGACTATGGGCGTGCACCACCACACCTCGCTAATTATTTTATTTTATTCATTTATTTTTGGTAGAAACAAGCTTTTGCTTTCTTGCCCAGGCTTGTCTCTAACTCCTGGCCTCAAGCAATCCTCCTGCCTTGGCCTCCCAAATCACTGGTATTATAGATGTGAGCCACTGTACCTGGCGGACTCCCTCATTTTGATGGAGCACGTCTTCCTATAGCTTCTGATACATAGAAGGTATATTGGTTAAGAGCTTCTATGTCTGAAAATGTCGTCATTCTAGCTTCACACTTGATTGACAGTTTGGCTAGGTAGAGAATTCCAAGATGAACAATTTGGAGGACCTCATTTCATTGCCTTCTAGTTTCTAGTGTTAGTGAAAAGATAGAATTCCCCCCATCTCTCTCTTTCTCTCTCTCTCCTCTCTCTCTGTTTCTCTCTTCTCTCTCTCTCTCTCTCCCTCTCTCTCTCCCTCTCTCTCTCTCTCTGTGTGTGTGTGTGTGTGTGTGTGTGTGTGTGTGTGTGTGTGTGTGT